GGTGTCATGGGCTGCCCGAACTGGCAGAATGACGTATCCAACAAATCCACCTCTGAAGTCCAGGAAGAAAAAAACACTCCACCTGGATCAGGGATTATTATGGTTGCTCATACAGGGTGTGGAACATGGACAAAACGCCTGTCATCTGTGCTAAATCTCACAGCCAAAATGCCTTATTCTTGGACGCAATGCTACGTTGATGGATGTTGCAAGGTGGAAGAGGCACGCTATTCTATCAGAGCGAGTGATGCTTGGGAGTCATATCCGCTGTCAGCTTTGTTCACCTCAACAACTAGTGCTGATAGCATTGATGAGGGTCAAATTCTTCTTGTGAAATCTTGTTGCGGAAGGTTTATTATCTTCCTCCTTGACTACTTCTACTAAAAAGTCAGATTGCTCAGATATCTTAAAGTAGTTTTAAATGATTGTTAAACTTGTTCTTCTATCTTGTTACTCTCGCATGCATAGAGAAACAATCTATACTATATCACCAATTGCCTGTGTTGCACAATTTGACCACTGTTTGCACAGGATGGTCTTGTGTTTCTCAAGTTTACATAGCAAAAGTTTCTCTATAGTGTTGAATCTGATTCACCATTGTACAATTGGCTCTTGACATATTAGTCGTATTAGAATAAAGTTAAGGGTCCGTATTTCTGAAATTCCATTATCCATTACAATTTACTTTCAGCTTCTTGGTCAATGCTTACAGGAACTTGTACGTACCTTTCTTCTTTTGGCATGCAGTTTATCCAAGTATATAATGGTGGCTTCAGGCAGGGTATCTCTTTATATGCAGAATGTGAAAGTTCAAAAAGTTACCAAGGTATTGCAATTCATTCCAGTTGTAAGTGGATTATAGAAACTACATGAGTATGACTTACTTCAACTTATCACAATGTAGGCTTGGGATCACGCTGCTGGTATTATATGTGTGCATGAAGCAGGGGGAAAGGTATTTTTCTATGACTCTTTTTGAAGTATCGCGTAATGTATCCAACTTGGTGCATTTAAGTCATAATACGTATCATAAAACATGAATTTGCTGCTAAGCTCCACTGTAGGATTGGTATAAACTGCAAAGAGGTTAACTAATGGGAATTCAGAACCGAAAACTAAAATTTGAGGCCTTTGACCATTTCTGGTATCTATATTTTCTTTTTAAAGATATTTATAATTGTTATATCTATTGCAAAACAAAGTTTCTCCAGCCTTCCTTGGAGAAGTGTTTTCTGATACTAGGTAAAACAGACCGATCATCATGGATGACACTGTCCTCTTGCTTCAATGGACTAAATAGAGCGAACAAAACAAAATAACACCTACATGTACAACAGGAGGAGCCAGTACTTTGTTTATTGATACTTGTTCCATTGAGAAATCCCAATATCCTCCATTTAAGAGATTATCCCTTGTAAAACCAGGTGACTGACTGGAAGGGAGATCAAATTAATCTTGCAGCAGATCAACTTGGACGGAGGAATATATATCCTTCTGGTGGTGTCCTTGTGACTAATGGCAGCTTACATAACCGGCTTGTAGAGATGATATCTTCCAATTCGTCCACTGTTTCACAGTGATTACTATTTCAAATAATTAATTATTTATTTTTTTCAATTTGATTGTATTTTTTGAAATATGGCAAGAAACTCTTCGGAATGCCATATGACATTAATTCTTCATGTGCACTGTTGTCCCCGAAAATTATCATACACATTTCTTTTCCAGCTACCAGATCACAGTGTAAGAGAAACCAGATTCTTTACAAGTCAATGTAATAACC